GGAAAAGTTACAAAAAGTAGACAACTTTGAGCAAGACCAGAGCTCAAATTCTACTTTGGATACATCCTAGCTAAGTGTACGTTGATAAATCATTTATCTCAGTTTTCTCATCTGAAAAATAGGGATAATACTTGAACTAACTACTTCATAAAGTTATTGTGAGTTATTCTACAAATCTTAAAGTACCATATACATTGGAGTTATTATTACTGTAATTAATTTTTCCAAATATCTCTCAGTCTTTCAAAGTATTTCAACTTCAGAAATACCAGTGAGCCTCGGATTAGAAGCTTCAGTCATACTCACTGGAAATCAACAGGAGGCTATTCTTCAGAACCCACAGGAGTGCCAAGCTAGCAGTAACATAACCGAGTAATTAACTGATACTTATATAAGCATAGTAAGATTATCACCAGGTTGGAGCTGCTAAGTGGTACAGTGAGTACTGGCCCTGAAGTCCGGAGGACTTGAGTTCAAATTTGGCCTCAGACACTTGATACTTACTAGCTGTGTGACCCTGAGCAAGTCACTTAACCCCAATCACTTAGCCAAAAATAAAAAAAAAAAGGGAGGGGGACAGGGGAGCTAAGTTGGCACAGAGGATAGTACACAGATCCTGGAGTCAAGAGGACCTGAGTTCAAATCTGGCCTCAGACTTACTAGCTCTGTGACCCTGGGCAAGTCATTTAACCCTGCTTGCCTAAAAAAAAAATTATAGCCAGGTCAACAGAAATAGTCGCTATCCCACACAAATCTTGGGCTGGGTATGTGCAAGACTACACCAATGAAACTTAACAAGAATAAAAGACAAAGGTGTGGAATATCCTGCACAATTGTTTTATTAACATTTGGAGGGAGCTGATAAAAGAGAGAACCATATGAGCTTCATAAGGATGGGAGATGTGTCTTAATGAATATGAAATCCTGTACTGGCGGAAATTTCAGTTATGTGACTGAAAGTTTGTTCCCTACAGTGACTAGCTCTAGCTATATAAAGCACTTAGAAAAACCCAGTTTCCTCTATACTGCTTGTGACCTTAAAGTTATGACAGATGGAGAGAAAAAGGATGACATTCTTTTTTCATCCTGTTCTAGAAGCAGCAATGTGTTACAATTCACTTGATACCACTCTATCATACAAAGAGGTTTCTCAGAGACTGGTTTACATAAAGTAGTTAACATCCACAGCCCAGGAAGGAATATCTTTACAAATCACCAACTCTTTGGCCCTCAATTCCTGCATCTGTAAAATGAAGTGACTAACGTAGGTCTGCAGAACACACAACGCACGGACTGTGTGTTGTGCAGGCCTGGATTAAAAGGACTTCTGGCTGAGATAGTGACTGGAGAGGCACTCTCCCACACCTACTCCAATAAAAACCTAAAAATTGTAGCAGACCAAATAATGATCAAGAAATACAATGAGAAAATACAGTGACTTATTTTCCCCAGAACTGCATGCACACACACACACACACACACACACACACACACACACACAAAATATGAGCTAGCAGTCCAAAGGCAATAGGAAAAGGAATTAAGAACAAAGCTAGTGTTAGTCAGGGAAAGAAAGCCACAGCCTCCCAGGGTGACCAGAGAATGGATTAAAATACAGCCTGCACGAACTTCAGAAAAACCTGGAAAGACTTGTATGGACTGATGAAGAGTGAAGGGAGCAAAACCAGGAGAATGCTGCACACAGTAACAGCCATATTGTGCGATGACTAACTTTAATAGACTTAACTCTACTCAGCAATACCAGGATCTAAGACATCTCCAAAAGTCTCATGATGGAAAATGCTATCCACATCCTAAGAAAGAACTATGGAGTTTGAATGCAGATCAAAGCATACTATTTGCTATTTTTTTCCTTCTATTTTGTTTTGCTTCCTCTTTCTTGTGATTCCTCCTATTGGTTATAATTCTTCCTTACAACATGACTAATGTGAAAATATGTTTAATAGGAATGTATATGTAGAGCCTATATCGGATTGCATGCCGTCTTGGGGATAAGGATTGAGAAAAGGCCATCAACTAGCCAGCTGAAGCAAAAGCAGGTAACTGAAAATGTACAAAACATTGATTCACCCTTTGAGATTAATGCCAGGAGCTCTAGAAAGATTAAATAGATAAATAAATTAATCAATCAACAGATAAACAATAAATAGATATAAAAATATATGTATAGACATGTGAATATGTGTATATATACATACATACATGTATGTTATGCTGAACATTCTTTTTAATTATTTTATCTTTCATTTAGTATTTCTAACATTACTGTCACACTAATGAATCACTTTCTTGATATCGCAGTTTATGAAAGGGACCACTTATCTGTCTGTCTGTCTGTCTATCTATCTATCTTTCTTTTATTTCCTATTTTATATCATCATGATCTCTTTCTTTATCTCTTTACGTAGCTATTTGGAAGACTAAAACAAGACCAAAACACAGGGGAGTATCATTGGCTAATACAGAAAGGATGACATTAAGGGTTGGTAATAGATGGGAATACTGTTTAATTTTTATTTTGCTTTTGTTTTCTCTACTATGGAGGATAATGTTAAATAATATAAATATCTTACATTTAATAAAAAAAAAAAAGGAAGAAAAATACAGCCTGCAGTGGCAGCTAGGTGGCACAGTGGATAGAGCACCAGCATTGGAATCAGGAGGACCTGAGTTCGAATCTGACCTCAGGCACTAACACTCACTAGCTGTGTGACTCTGGGCAAGTCACTTAACCCCAACTGCCTCACCAAAAAAAAAATAATAATAATAATACAGCCTGCAGGGTTTTCAGTTAGAGGCAACAAGAGTAGAGAACTCACCCAAGCAAGCCCCTGAGTGTTTATAAACACACAGTGGGGACAAGGTGGTGCTTAGAAGAGTTTATTCTAGACCAGGGGCTCCAAAATTTCTAGGATTCTGTCCTGAGATGCCAGAGAAAGCCCTGAAGATCAATGTCTCAAAGATTCTGATGGGACCAAACTTTGGGAGCTAGAGGTCAGCACTGGAGACCAAGGGATAGACTATTCAAGGTCAACTACACCACTCAAATGAGCAGCCAGGGGTGAGGCCTGGCCTATACAAAGTCCTAATTAAGCCAAAATCAAAGAGATGAGTAAGCAAAGTAAATGTTGATGAGCATTTAAAAAAAAAAAAAAACAAACTACTGCAGATCTAGAGATCCACAAAAAGGAGAGAGCAACTCCATTGCATATTGAGTGCACATATTTTCAGATTTTTTTTCTATGCATTGATTAGTTAAGCTGATATTTTCCTCTTCTTTTTTCTTCCTTAAAAAATTTATTTGTAATATAGTATTACTTTCTGGGAGAGGGACACTGGGGGAAAATATAATGATATTAAAAAAAAATACAACAATAACACATTTTAAAATTAAGGAGGGAAAGCTACTGAGGAAAGAATTAGAAGGAAACGAAATAGTTTATAGAGGCAGCTAGATGGTGCAGTGGATAGAGTGCTGGGCCTGAAGTCAGGAAGACATCTTCCTGTGTTCAAATCTGGCCTCAGACACTTACTAGCTGGATTACCCTGGGCAAGTCATTTAACCCTGTTTGCCTCAGATCCTCATCTATAAAATGAGTTGAAGAAGGAAATGGCAAACCACTGCAGTATCTTTGACAAGAAAACCCCAAATGGGATCATGAAGGGTCAGACATGACTGAAAACAGAACAAGCAGTTTATAAGAGAAGCAGTAAATCTTATCCAAGTAATGGACTTCATGAAAACTACAATAGACCAAAGAGAAATCAATGATTATATGAAACAGTAAAGAATTTAAGAACAAAATTAAAAGATTGAAAAAAAAAAAGAAAATGTAAGATATTTGATTTCAGAAACCTGAAAAACAGGTCAAAGAGAAATAATTTAAGAATCATCAGACTTCCTACAAACCATAATTTTTTTTAAAAAGTCTGTACACTATATTTTAAGAAATTATAAATGAATGAGAAGAGAGCTTAGAATATAAATTCCCAAAGGCCTTTGATTTTTTGAAAAAGATACAGGCTTACAACCAAAAATAACTTTCCCTACAAAGCTAAACATAATCCAGGAGACCGGGGGGGGGGGGGGGGGGGGGGAGAAGGGAATAGACTTTTAATGTAATAGAGGATTTTCAAACATTTCTAATGAAGAGACCAGAGCCGAGTAGGAACTCCGAAATATAAATACGAGAGTCCAGAAGAACCTAGAAAGGCAAATTCATGTGAGCAATTGAAAGGTGCTATAATGATACAGTGTTAACAGTCTAATAGGGAAAAAGAAACAAATCTTCCAAGGATATTACGGAGTTAAATAAGAAAAAGAAATGACCTGGAGGTGGATTGGTTCTGTTCTAAGGGTTTGCAGAAGAGAAAGAGGAAAGGAGAGTAAAAAATACCCCAGGATACAAAGGAAGGAAAAGGGAGTAGAACTTGCTAACTCTCATAATTGGAGTGCTTGAGAAGATTACATAGTATGAAAGGAGTGGGAATAATAGGCAGCAAATAATAGCACCACTCTTATCTGAAATGGACAAAGAAGGGTTGAAAACAGAGACACTCATAACACACATAATTTGGAGTAGAAATACATAAAACTCAACAGGGAAACAAGTGGGAACTGGGGGTGGGAGGGGCCAAAGTAGAGGATAATATAATATCAGAGGTGGAATAAGCAATACAAACTTCCTGATCCTAATGGGGGGATTAAAAGAAAAAAAAAAGGACAAGAATCTAAGGGAATGCCAATCAAATAGGAAATGGTTGAGCAAATGGTGCTATATGTATATGTAATGGAATATTGTTATACTATAAGAAGTAACGAAAGTGATAATTTCAGAGAATTCAGGTTAAGATAACCTGATGACAAATGAAGTAAGCCAGGGGAATAATGGCAGAAGCCCGTAAATCTCATATTGAAGAGGTAGTAGATAAATGATGCTCTAGAAAATAATAACCAAAGTAAGCAAATCAAAGCTCACCTTGAAAGGGGCTCCATAGACAGATTCTCCACCAGTTCCGGTACCAGTGGGATCTCCTCCTTGGACTATAAAACCAGGTACAACCCTATGAAATATTGTGTTCTCATAATAACCTGAAAAGAAAGCATTTGAGATTTTACCAAGATGGTCTATGAGATTCTTCCCCTCTTGTCAAGTGAGGTTGTAGAGGTGATTCTTGTTCAGATACTGACTGGACTAGAAAGCTTCAGAAGCCCCCTTAGTCAGGGACTCAGTGACTTTGCTCCCATAGTTGATCCTTTTCTCAGAAAATACCATATTAAGTTGGTCCTTCCACCTTAAAATATTCTCAGGTCTCCCTTTTCTTAAAAAGGTTACCTTCTCTAGATGCCATCTAAATTATCACCATCATTTCAGTGATGAACTCATCAAATATCTACGTGTACTTTTTCTATTTCTCAGCCAACTGCTTCCTTTTTAACCTCTACAATCTAGTTTCTGTTTCTACTGCTCCAATAATAACCCAAGTGAAAATCCAGGCTCTGCAATTTGCTACCTGTGTTAACTAAGGCAAGTCATTTAAGCTCCCTGAGTCTCATAACCAATTAGTTGCTGCCCCCTCCTTTCCATCCCCACTGGAAAAACTATACTTCAGGCCTTTGTTCCTTCTTAATTACCTCATTTCTCAATTACGTCAATAATTTACCCTACTTCTAGTCTTCACATCTTTCAATTATCTACAATCCATTTACACACTGGCCTCAAATTTTATGCAGGTATAATCACATCATACTTATTTTTAAAGTTTGGTTAAGGTGACTCAATCTCCTGATTACACTTCAAGTAAAGTGATGATAAACTAAATTTCCTAAACCTACAAAGTAGATGACCAGATATTAGAGCAGAGGTGACCACATCAAAGTATTCTCAGCCAATGAGACCCAACCAAGCAACCAAACAGCCTCTGTCAGGTTTTACCCCAATTATAACATTAGCCAATTTAAATTCTACAAATCCACATTTAATTATTTTTTTTTAATTAACAAGCATTTCTTTTCCCTCCTTTACACCTCTCTCCATCAAAAAATAGGGAAAAGAAAATCATTGTAACAAATATGCATAGTCAAGCAAAACAAATTGCTCCACTGACTATGTCAAAAGATGTATGTCTCATTATGCATGCTTAGGCCATCACCTCTCTGTCAGAAAGAAAGGAGCATGGGAATCAGGGATATGATTGCATTCATCAGAGTTCTGAAAGTCTTTCAAAATGGTTCATTTTCACTATATTACTATGCACATTTATCTTTAAACATAAAATGACCCTATACTGATATTCTATTAAGTCCAGAGTGACTCATTTCAATGACTCATCATTTTTATTTTCAAATTTTATTATTTATTATACTGTCCTCTTCCATAACCTCCTTTATGCTTATGCCCTTCTCTTTTCCTCTACATGAGCTATTTTTGTGTGTCCTTTTAAATAAAATGATTGCCCTTTTTATAAATCTATTCTTGGTAGGAAGAGCTTAGAGTCCCCGCCGCCTCCAAAAGAATGGAAGATCTTTGAAAGCAAGGATTGGCTGGCCTATGTTTGTTTTTTCAGCACCTAGAAGAGTGTCCTGAACACAGCAGGTATTTTAAAAATGCATGCTGAATTAAAAGAGAAGTCAAATAATAACAGAAATGTCACTATAAACTTCTAGAGTTGTATTATTTTACACAATTTCTCTCATTTTTCTTTTTCTTTTTTTTATTAGATCATATAGAACACACCACACTTCTTTTATGTGTGTTGTATGGCACAGTGGACAGATGGCTAACCTTGGGAGATATGCATTGTAGCCCTGGTCTTTGACAAATACTAGCTATGTGATCTTGGAAAAATCAATTAACATCTCAATGCCCAAGATGATTCTCTAAGTCTATAAGTTACATTTAATGTGAGAATATTCATCATTGTAAGGAATTTTCACTGTGGGAATTCCCTACACTGATGAAATTGCAAGTGTCAACAGAAAAAAAAAAATGTATTAACTGCTACCTACTTTCCCAAAGTTACTGAATTCTGATATGTGGTCAATCAGCCTCTGTTTGAAGACCTTCAAGGAGGAACCCACCACCTCTAAAAGCAGTCCATCTCACTTTTGGACAGCTTTAAGTGTTAGGAAAAATTTCCTGACATTAACAAAGGCTTCCTATAGGATACAGCTCCTAAGCTGATCTGAGGATTTCTAGGAGGAAAACATGAGGAAAGACTGAATTATACATGTATAGAAAAACATGTCAAAGGCACAGAGATGGGAGAGGGAAGACTGAGTATGAGAAGCAGCAGGGAAACCAGTTCAGCTGGAAACTAGGATGTGTGAGAGGGAGCGTGGCGAAATAAGCCTGGGAAGGCCTTTCCATGCCAAGCAGAAGAGTTAGTTTGTATCTTATCCTGGACACAACAGGAAGCCAATTCTTAATCAAGGAAGAGACATAATTATTTTTTGCAGACTATCACTTTGCAATCTCTATTCTCTCATGAGCTTCAGTCCCACAACACCATGTGCCTATGAGACAATGCCTGTACATCTCATATGCAACTGAAACTCAACCTGTTCAAAATAAAACTCATTAACTTCCTCTGTATTCCTCCACACTTGCCTGTTTCTGTTCCTTTTAGTTATCCAGGCTCATGCCTCAGTCATCTCTGACACTTTCCCTCACAACACACAGCCAATCAAATGCCAAATCTTGTTAATTCTACTTCTACAACATCTGTCACAACTGTCTCCTTCTCTTCACAATGGAGTCAGACCATAATTCAGGTTCTTATCACCTCTTGCCTGGATTTTTGAAATAGCCTCCTAATTTGTCTCTTTGTTCTACTGTTTCTTTCCTCTCCAATATACCCCACCGAAACAATATATCTGAGTACTATTAGTACAATACTATACATCATATATATATAATAGCATGAATAGTTTTTTGTGGGTATGCCTGAAAAAGTAATAGCAATTTATAATGTTTTACAGAAAAATGTCTTCTGAATGCCTAGCAATGACTTTTACACAAATAAACTTGGGGAAATGAACTTAGTCTTAAATTGGAGGCTTCCTGGGAAGAAAGTTCTTTTACAAAATTCTCATCTCTACAAAAGAATACAAAGTGAAATTCAATAAACATTTATTAAGCATCCTAATGTGTGCAAAATATTGAGCTAGTTTGTGCAGCATATAATAAGTTTAGCTAAGACATAATCTTTGCTATCAAAGATCTCCCTTTACCAAGGGAGTAAGACACAAAAACCGATAACTGACTTTCCAAATTAACAACTATTAATTTTTTCCATAGAAAAAGCTTAAGTGTAACTATTACCTTCCATACAAAGTTGAATGAAATTTCGACATGCTTTGGGAGCCTCTTTTGACCATAGTTCTATGTCAATATCACCAGCTGTTGTTTTCAATAAAACCTAGAAAAAATTAAGTAATTAGATCACATTATGACTAAATAAAAGTATGAATCTGCTTCAGTGTTACAATCACTGGTCAACACATCCATTTATTCATTCAATCATTCACTTAACAAACACTTATCAATTATCTACCATGTACTACCATGTATAAGGCACTGTCTAGCCTGGGGGGGTGGGGGGGGACAAACATTAAACATGACAATCTGTGCCCTAATAAGCTTATATGCCCTTGCTCAGTTTTAGAATAAAAATTAGAAAGTTTGGCTTTTGTTGTTGTAGTCAATGAAACTTTAAATACTCAATTATTACTTACAATGCACATTAATATAGCCAAGATAGCTCTTAAAAATAAATATGCCTATTTGTGATATAGGAAAAATTAGTTAATTTGGAGTCTACTGATTCAGAATTTATGCTAGCACTAGTGCAGAAATGAAAAGCAGTATTCTCTTGTATTTTATAGCACTCTGTATTTTATTTTTAAGTGTTTTTCTCACAACAGTCCTCTAAGATATTATCTAATACATTTTGTAAATAATAATAATAGCTAACATTTTTATAATGCTTTAAGGTTTAAGGTTTGCAAAGCACTTTCTTTGTTATCTCATTTGGTCTTCCCAACAACCCTTGAAGGTAGATTCTATTATTATCCAAATTTTACAGATGAGGAAACTGAAGCTGAGAGACATTGAGTAACCTGCCCAGAGTCATACAGCCAGTAAGTGTCAGAGGCAAAATTTGAATTCAACCCATCCTGACTTTAGGTCCAGCATTCTATACACTGCTATACCTAGTTTAAGAAAATTTAGGCACTGAGAAATTTACTTGACCAGAATCACATTACTAGTAATTGGAACTCAGCTCTTTGATTCTCCTTTCAATGGCATTTTGCTTTCTCTGCAAGCTCAGAAGATCAAGAGTTTAACGTCAACGGTTTAAAGAAAAATGGCTGGGAAACAACCTTTTTAAAAGAACAAATTGTTTCCCAATAACTTACAATTATCCTCGTACATGTAAATAATTGCTTTGTTAATTCCAAATAATTTTATACATTAAAATTAGTCCTCTAAGAGCTTTGAAGTATGAAATTAAAAATGAACTTTTCTTAAAATGTTCTATAATTCAGATTGTTTCACTATTTCAAGCTAGCCTTCAAGCTAGTCCAAGTCAATGAAATTTTACTGTGTTCTAAACTCCATACTGTAAAATTGATTTTTAATATTTTATATAATGCTACATAAAACAACCCCACACAGCAGTTTCTTCAACTATTACTTGAATAGAGTTTGGGAGGAATGAAAACTTGCAGGATTTGCCCAAAAAAAGGGAGGGCTTTGATAATTTTCAAGTGAGCAATCTCAGTAAAATGGAAAGGAAGTCAGTTTGAAGAAAATTAAAAGTGAATGTAAGGTGAGAGGTAGGGACAGCAGGTATGAATCCAAGGAAATGATATCATGATAAATGATGAAAAAACATATCATTTTTTTTAAAATTTAAGTTTATTTTCTATGTATAACAATTTACAAATGTTCTTCTTTTGCTTCTTTGTTTTTCTTATGTATTTATTTATATGTCTGAATATATATCAATAAAAGTTAGAATTAAATGAATTTTTAAATTGAAAATGAATAAATGAAAGGAAGGTTTATTTGGATTAAAAATGTATACTTTCTTTTCTTGAAATCTAGACTGACCTAGAAAATCTCTTTGACCCAGCAAATAGAATATTATGTGGCTGCTGTAGTTCTGTAGAGCACAGTGATGCTCAAGGAGTTCCACTGGAAAGGAAAAGAAATCAGACAATAGTTGGAAAGAACAGCAGGGGGCAGGGCTATAAGGTAGCTACAATTTTCTGGCTTTTGTTGTTACTTGTTTGTTTTATTTCTTGAAGTCAAGCCAGCTTTGTGTTAACCAATGAAATCACAGATCCAGACTGGGAAAAAAAAAAGGTGGCAAATTTCAGCTTAGCATAATTGAATCAAAGATTTAGACTTAGAAAGAATCTTAGAGAGGATTGAAGCTCTAATTTTACAATGTAAATAGGGCCCAAGATATGATATGAAGGGACTTGCTCAAGGTCACACAGAAAGTAAGTGGCAGGGCTAAGATTTGAACCAAGGTCCTTTGTTAGAAAAAGTCCAAGAAGAAAGGAATAATTCAATGAAGGCAATAATTAGCATTTATACAGTGCTTTAAGGTTTACAAAAAAACTTTTCAAATTCTCTCATTTTTATCCTCACAACAAACCTTGGAGGTAGGTGCTATTATTTTCCTCATTTTACAGATAAGGAAACTGGGGCACAGAGAAGTTAAATGACTTGCCTAGGGTCACATAAGATAGTAAGGATCCAAGGCTACATTTGAATTCAGATCGTCCTGATTCCAAGTTCAAGGCTTTATCCACTTAAGTGCTTTAAATTAATAAACGTGCATTTACTAAGTGTCAGGAACCTACTTAAGGCTCAGGATAAGGAGTAAAAGCAAAAACTGCCTGGGGTCTCAAGAAATTTACAATCTAATGGGAGGGGGTGTACTATATGCAAGTAAACAGGTATACAGGAGATACTTACAGAGTAGAAACAAGGTAACCACCAAAAGGGGGAGAATCAGGGGAGAGGCTTCCTACAGAGGCTAGCATTTGAGTTGAATCTTAAAAGAAGCAGGGTTTCGAAGAAGTGAGAGGTAAGAGAATTCCCAGCAGGCTCATATCCAGGAGATGGAGTATTAGATGTGAGGTACAGCAAGCAAGCCAGTAGGGCAGGACCTCACAGTCCATAAAGGAGAGTAACGTGTAAGACTGGAAAAATTTTATTAGATAGTACAGCCTAAGAATTAGGTAGGAAGGGCCCATATTATGAAGAGAACAACTTTAGAGAACAGGAAAACAGTCTTATAGAAACCTGTTTCGGTAAGACTGAAGAGAAGGATGGGAGGACAGACAGGTCAATGTACACAAGCAGAAGGAATCCCTCCATCTGAATGACCACTCAAGTTTGTATCTCTCTTACTATATTTTTACATTTTATCTCCTTATCTTTATCTCAGCATTTTCTTACCTTCCCAAGTAGTCTGTAAGCTCAGGAAGGAGGAGGGCTGTATCTTGTCCTTCCTTGAATTTCCCACAGTAACTAGCAGTCCCTTGTGGACAGTAAGCACAAAAACAAAAAAAAAAAAACAACAAAAAAAAAGTTGCTTGCTGAAGAATCATCTTTTGGGGCCAGCTAGGTGGCGCAGTAGCTAGAGTTCTGGCCTTGGGGTCAGGAGGACCTGAGTTCAAATCTGTCCTCAGGCACTTGACACTTACTAGCTGTGTGACCCTGGGCAAGTCACTTAACCCCCATTGCTTCACCAAAAAGCAAAAAAAAAAAAAAATCCTCTTTTATAACTTCAGAATCTCACAATTCAAGAATCACCAGGTCCATTAAATGAAAAAACAATTATATTTGAGTACTAATTTCAAAAACCATTCTCGGAAGTATTAACTTATTTATATAATACTTTATATAGCAACTTATGCAGCATGTTAAGGTTTATAAAGCACTTTATACATATTAACTCAATAAAATCTGTGAAACATCCTCTGGGCTACCTTCAAACTGCCATACTCCTGTTCTTCACCTCAAAACTAGAATTCAAGCCTCACCTTGAGGCCAGCTTGGATAGAGTGCTGGGCTTGGAGTCAGGAAGACCTGAGTTCAAATCCAATCTCAGATATTTACTAGCTATGTAATCCTGGGCAAGGCATTTAACTGCTCTCTGCCTTAGTTTCCACATTTGTAAAATGAGGATAATAACCCTCCCAGGGTTATTGTGAGGATCAAATGAAATATTTGTAAAGTGCTTAGCACAGTGACTAGTACATTGCAGGCACTTAATAAATGCTTGTTTCTCTCCCCTCTCCGTGTTTCTTTCCTCCCTTCTTTTCACTTCAGGACCTTGGTAAACATTCATTTTATCCTGTCTAAAACCAGGCCCACTGTGTTCCTTAGATATTTTCATGCTATGATACCCTCTTCCCTGTTTTCCCCACCTCCCTCCTTTCCAACTCTAGCCCTTAAAAAAGTAATCAAGTCAACACTACCATTCCTGGAAAGGAAGTGTCAAGCAATTGCCCCAGTGACTACAATCACCAGGATTTCCCAATGACTCAACATTTCTCTCCGGTCACCATATTAGAATATAAGCTCCTTGAAGGCAGGGCAAATTTGCTTGAATTTCTGTCTCCAGCATAACATAAAAGCAGGTAATAACTGGTATTTTCATTCATTCATATGAATTAAACATTTTATAGAACAAATGAAAATTTACCTTCTTATTTACAAATAAAACAGATCAAAGACGAATTTTGATGGATAGACCCTGTTATTCCTACTGCTTTGTATATCACCTAGCTTTGACTAGTTCCTCTAAAAAAAGGTTTCACATCTACTCATTGTCTTTATATTGCAATACCTTTTGCCTACTTTTCAAAAGGCAGTAATTTACTACTTTTGAATGAAAACAATAGTTACTAATATTTTTAAACAACAAAATTAGTATATACACTGGAAACAATACTTCTGATTAGGCAGCAAGGTAGTACAATATAAAAGACCTAAATTTGAATCTTGCCTCAGACACTAGCTCTGTGACCTTGGGCAAGTCACTCATCCTCATCTGTAAAATGGGGATAATAATTAGCACTTACTTCATTAGGTTGTTGTGAAGATCAAACTGTGAGAAGTTAACATATGAAAAGGATTGTGCAAACCTTAAAGCACTATATAAATACTAGCTGTTATTATTTTTGCTATTTTGCTATTATTTTTAGTAGTAATAGTTTCAGAGCACAAAGCAGAGGACAATACACTAAAGTTAATTTTTTTTGAGAAGGATGATGACAATAATAATAGCAACAAATGCAAAATACTAATAAATTTTAAAAATTCACCAGAAAATCCAGAAATTTTATTGACTTCTATGTATGAAGCAGAGTTAAGTGAGATTTTTCCATATAA